TGAAAGTATGCGTAGATCATGCGTTTTGACATTGCTTAACTTCTTCTGAAGGTTTGTTAATAGTGTATCTTTCTGTGGTGCTACAAAGTATCGTCGGAGACTGAAAGGATACTTAGAGTAATTATAAGGTGGATCTTGAAGAACTCACTCAAATTTGCCCAGTAGAACAGGAAAAACTGAATCTACAAATACACAGCCGTCTCGTTCTGGCACTGGGACCTGAGGAAAACATTTGACAATGAGCAGATATTCGAAGGGAAATGGTGACCATGCTTACCTGAACCTCTGACTCTGTTAGACTAAAAAAGTTTCTGAAATTCCCTGGAGACCGAATAACATGATGGCGAGGAACGCTTCTGAGAGCTCGTCGAAACATGAATAAGTTGGAAGCTAGAAGCTCAGAAAAGAAACTTGACATCATCGCACAACACGGCCCGCGGGCCGCAGGTTTTACCGCCATACCTTAAAAAATGCCATTGCTTGCTCTGTTGCAATTACACTTTGGAAATCATTCGAAAGCTCAATCGAAGACCATCGACTTGGGACACAAATCTTCAGCAATCATCACCAATTACGAAAAGGAATGGGTATGTATTGGCTACGATTAAAGTCTAACGCTGCCTTGATTCTCGACTGAGGGACGAATCTATTGATGAACATGTATGATAAAATACGCGACGGCGTTTGCCCGCCGCAAAGAATCAATTGATCTCGGGATGTTATAAAAGCCCCACTGTTGCAACAATTCTTGACTTCAACTCTCTTTCGATACCTGTTGCTCTCAAACTCGCTACTACCGTAACACTTCCACTCGGTGAGTTCGTGCTCCATTGATCTTCGTGACTTGCTGACGTTTCTTCCGACCAGTTCAAACCATGCGTTTCTTTTCCGTTCTTTATACCATCGTTGCTGCTGCCAGCGTGGCCTTCGTTTCTGCCCAAGAAGCCGCCCGTTTCGGTATAGTGAATGTCACTCCCACCGGGCTGCTCACAGCCAATGAAGTGCGTTATCCTCTGTTGTACTGCGTTGCCAACCATGTTTAATCCTGGTCTTCGAACAGAACATCACAATCATGTACAACTCGACTCTTGCTCAAAATCAACCTCTTTACGTCGACTTTTATCTGGAGGGAGAGTTTTCCAATGGAAATGCTGCTCCCAACCTCTTGATCTCGAGGAACAATTACACTGCCAATCAAACCATTCTCCTCCAGAACGCAACGGTAGGCTCTGTTCTATTGTGATTGGGACTGAGCCTGAATGTACTGACTCGCAATCATAGGTGCCCAATCTCGATTTGTTGGGTAATGTTACCTACGCCCTTTGGGCTTGGGTTACTTATAACCAAAGCGGCTTGTTGCAAATAGGAGGGATCTCCGCATAAGTACAGGAAGGGTGTAGTAGATGCAGCGGGTGTCGTTTAGGATCAGTTGCCCTCATGGAACTGAGCTGATATGTACTACTTTCCGCATTCCCTGTCAATACACATCGCATGATTTTGTTCCATCAGATCTTGCGTGTGGATCAATTGTAGTTGTGATGAGGGAGTGGAATCATCTGGAATCATGCGACGCCTTGTTTTTGAAGTAGTGGGGTAATAATTGTAAGAGAGAGCTGAGAATCCCTCAGCCAGTGAGAGTTGGGGAACAGGTGCACTAAGAAGTGGAGCTTGGTTCACGCGCTTTCTGCAGCTGACACTGACAGCTCTTTGAGCGGCACTAACCATAGCTTCTTTATTTACCTTCTTTCAAGTGTAGATACACTTTATCCTTCTTCTTCAACTCCTTACACGACCATGTTCACCAACATTCCTCCAAGCGTCGACGAAATTGTCGACAAGCAGCTCTTTATTGGCAAGTAAGGCCTATTTTACATAATTCATGCTTTTCAATTTCTTTAGCATTGACAAAAGTTGTTAACCGTGTCGATTACACAGCCTGTCCGCTGCAGTGTCTTCTGAATTGCGAAAGCAACTGGGAATAACACATATTCTCTCCGTCTGTCCCGAATTTCCTTCGACGGGGTTGAATCACTTGACGATTGCTGTAGACGACAGCGAGTACGAAGACCTTCTCATTCGCCTTCCCGAAGCCTGTCAATTCATCCAAAATGCTCTCACTAACGGAGGCAAGGTCTTGGTTCATTGTGTGATGGGTGTGTCCCGGAGCGCCACCGTTCTTTCTGCGTACTGTGCGTCGTTTTCGCTTCGCCAAGTTCCTGCGCCACTCCGACCGATTTCTCACTGCAAACCCAGTAATGCAATCTCGGAAACTCAACCCGACTCAAGCTCTGGAGCTGATTCGGACTCGTAAGAGATATCCAGTTCATTGTTGTCCGAGTCGCCGTTGACCATCGTAAACCCAGGCCGACCTTGCGTTCAGCCGAATTATGGATTTCTCAAGCAGCTTGACGCTTTCGGTCAATGCGGCTACCACCCGTCAGCTGAACACCCCGCATACATTTCATGGAAGCGCCGACAGGAACAGGACGTCACTGTCTTCTTGAACCAGATGATTGACACTATTCCAGTAATCCGACAACAATTATATCTCAGCAGGCACGTACCTTTTGCCCCTTCCAATTCACTCGCTCAAATTATCCTCTCTGACCGGTCCGCGCTCTCAATCTCAGTGAGTTTCCAGAAGATGTGGAACAAACCCAGTCCCTTCTTTTTGAGTTCGGTATCACCCATTTGCTCTCCATTTCCCCTTCCACGACCATCCCGAGTCCGACAACCCTCGTCCAACACCATCACATCTCCGATTCGCAGCAGGAACGCGATACGATTTTACTTGCCTTGCCAGAGGCGTGCAATTTCATCAAACAGGCGATAGCTGACGGAGGTGTGGTTCTCGTGTGTTCGGAAATAGAATCCAAGGCAGTTCTTGCTTCGTATGGATATCGTGAGTTGTTGTGCTATACGACGAACTCCGAATACTGAGGATCTATTGCTAGTAATGTCTTCTCGTGGACTCACACCCAAGCAGGTGTATCAGCAGCTGACCGAAGGTAAAGTTAACTTTATCACCCTTTCTCTATGTGAAGCCAACTTACATCTCATCGATTGATGATATGTAGCTCTCCCTCTCTTCAACCGCACGTCCAACTTCACTCGGCAGCTAGAATTGTTCAATGCCTGTTCATTCGCTCCGACATCTGATCATCCATTAGTCAAGGAATGGCTCAACTCTGCTGCATCCTCCGGCTGGAATAGTCGACGAGGATCATCAAATTCGTCAGACGTCGCCGCCGCACTCAGTGCAACTGCTCTCAACGTCCTAAGCGACACGGGTATTGATTGCAAAGCCTTTGGTGAAACGCTCCACAAGTTACAGAGTACTTCGAGACCGTCTAAATCACTTGCTAGACTTCAGCCCATTGAAGTTCAAAGTTGAAGCTCATGATGTTCGGTTGTAATTTCATTCTACGAACAATATGTTGTCACACTACTACATATACATATACGGCCGCTAGTATCGCTTGTAATTGTATGCATTCACGATCTAATTCTATCACATTATGACTAGCGCACAACGAGAAAAGGAGGATGTAGAGCGACCTGCGACCTTCGAACTAGCACAACCGCATATCAACCACTTCCTGAATAAACGACACCGCATATTGTGATACAGTATTCTTCCAAATTCCCATAAACCCCTCATGCTTGTCTATCTCATGTAAAACCATAGCCACAGTATTCTCAGAAGCGTATACCAGATAATATGTGAGGACGGAGATCATGTCCGTGCAATGGTCTCGAGGAGCTGTGATGAGGATCCTCGCACCCCGATGCCGGTGTAGTAAATCGTATCCCGTGCCGCACATGAAGTCTCTTGAAGCAAGAAGCTGCTTTTGCGTCAACAACGGGATACCACCGTGCTGCTCATTATTGAAGTCTCTGTGATCAGTATAAAGCCTGTGTGCTGCCTCAAAAGACCCTCCGTCGACTTGAGAGGTGAGAATGCGCATGCGAAATCCAGGAGAGTTGGGAGAGTTCGAGGAGACACCCAAGTTTAACACCTGAGTCTCATGAGAAGCAACGTAGTGCTGAATAACGGGTGTCTCGGATTGGTCTTTCAAGGCACTGAGTTTTACGATATGCGGGAACCTTTTACCGTCGGTCGTTCTCAGCTCTTCCTCGGGGGGAATACGTAGTGAGCTCGTCGGAGGATACAAGGATGATGGAGGGGTGGAGGGAGGGGTACCAGTTGGCGCATCAGTTGAGGAGGAAGACTGCATTGATACGGAGCATAGGAATATTTGGTCCGTTAATTTATATTACGTTCCTTCCGTAAAACACTTGATCGACGACAGGAGAGTGGATACGAACTCGAGAATCGATGTACATATCCACCTTTTACACGGCGTCAGCGGCACATTTTGCCTGATAAGCCGTTGCTACCGCGGTTGAAGCCTGCGAAGGGACACTCAGGGCGTTAAAGTACCTACTTCGAATGGTCTTTCATCCAACGGTCGACTACACTAGGTATAGGACATGCAGAAGATTCTGATTTGGGGTGAGCTTTGTACATCTCCTGGCAGCATTCATACAACTGTCGGAGAATTTTATCGCATTTCTCTGGATGATACGTATTTTTCCCTAGACAGTCCTGAAGATTGCAGGCTACAAGATTGATAGAAAAATAAGTTTTGAATTCGGGTGGTGTGAGCTGGATAGTATCGACCTTGGGCTTGACAAGGAGACGGGGTCTGTATTTGAAGTAAGCCAGGAATTAGACGTTGGTTGGAAAACCTGGACCATACATGACTTACATTCGACATGGGCAGAACGAGACGCAGCTGAGAAAAGAACAGGAAGCACAATGACGTCACAGTGCAAAACTTCCGTGGTCGAACCCGGGCCGTTTCAATCTTCAAAGCTTCAGCTTCAACGTTTAGTCACTTCGCCAGAGTGATTCACCAAAGCAGAATCGTCGGATACCTGGAACGACTCCAGCATCTTTGTGGAAGATTAACATGACAAAAAAGAACAAAAACAACCGTCACCTGTGCGATTCGAACACACGCGGGCAAAGCCCAACCGCTTTCGACTACTGCAAGGTAGCAGGCGATCCCGTTAACCACTCCGGCAAAGTGACTTATGATATTGCAAATTTATATTTATCTATAATGCACAACTAAAAAACCACAAAAGTTCCCGTCTTCCTGTTTTGTTCAGGCCAGCCTCTGTAATGTGGTGTCCAGCGAACATACTGGGAATATACTCACCAGTACATGGCTTGAGGGAAGACATTCGCTTCGATGACGCACTCCCGTTGCACAAGGCCAAGTGAATTTGGAAGCCGCCTCTCCAGCGTGTCTGCAAAAGTACCCTCCAACGCAGATCGTAAAGTTTATGATTCCACCCGGGCCTGTTATCGTGAATTTCAAGAACGTGGGACTCTCCCGCCAGCTTGCGAATCAACTTCTGGTGGGAACACTTTTTTCGTGAACTTGAAACAAGCCTCTGTTAACGTTTTTACGTTGTGGTAGATGAGTTTGTGCTCACAACTTTCCACAGTCCACCGAATGGACTTTGGTTGGGTACAACGATTAGCTTTCCGCAATTCCTTCCACCAACCTCTCCGCGCTACAAGCATCTCTCGAACCTCGTGTTGGAGCTTGGCTGATCTCCCGATAAGATCATTGCTGACAGTGAAGGAGGATATAGGCTGCCTGGTGGTAATCCAATCGGGGCTGAGCGCTGAGGCCTGAGACCTGTGGACTGACATTTCTTCTTCCGCCCGACGCGTTTCCTGACTCACTTTCATCTCATCACTAGAACAATCCAGTCTGATCACTGCTACTCAATATTTGCAGCTTTTGCTCCTCGTCGCTCTGTGTTTGCCTGTGTTTGCTCCTCATCTATGTTCTGCCACGAAGCGACGCGTCATCCCAAGTCTTGCATAACGAACTGGTTCATTCCCCAGTCCGAGGCTACCGAGGCCGATACAAGCGACCGAAATTGACAAGTATCTATAATATACTGTGACACTGAGAAAATCGTGTGTTCCACCAGCTTCAAAAAAAGTCTTCAGGAAAGCTTCCGCTTGCATAACTTCGATATTACATGGACCCGACACCCACTTCAATTCTACCTTTCCCGGCTTGGTTGTCCCCGGGATGTGCAGGAAACCATTGAATCTATCATTGACCCGCGTTCACGCCCAACGAGAACAGCGGTGTTACCCCGGTTATACTCGACTGATAAAGCCTGATGTAGTCTGACTAAGTCAGTGCTCTATCGGGAAGCTGGATGGACGGTTCCTGAGCTTGCGTACTAATCGTCCTTTTTGGGCGGGTACAGTAGTAAGCAAGGTAATTTAACCCCAACTAGTCGTGAGATGGGTTTGAAAAGAAAGAAAAAAAAATGCTTCCGTGGTATATATATGGCGTGTGCGTATGGGGGTGCCATCTAGCAAACTCTACAACTTCAACAACCGATATGGCTCTCAGCAACGCTCTCAAAATCGAATACAGGCAACTCGGTAAATCTGGCTTAAGGGTCAGTGTACCTATCTTGGGTGCCATGAGGTGTGTTCTTTCTATGGTTCAGGCTGCGTTTGAAGACATGACTGAGTGTGAATTTTCATAGTATTGGGGATCCTAATTGGAATGTATGTTGTTGTGTCGGTACAGGTGTTATTCACTGTCTTGACCGCGAATTACAGGGTTGGCCGTTAGGTGAAGAGCAGGCTTTACCTCTCTTGAAACACGCTTGGGATAGAGGTGTTAATACTTGGGATACCGCCAATGTTTACTCGAGTGCGTATATATCTTTGATCCTCGATGCAAGGATCATCATATCTGATCAGGTTGATGTTTTTTTAGACGGCGAATCCGAAAGTGGGTGATTGATTATCGCAGAAACCCATCAGAGTCATATTGACTGACTTCTCTCAGGAATCATCGGCAAGGCTATCAAGAAAGTAAGCATTACATAGTATCCTTCAGAACCCTGATGTTTTACAAACATCTTCTTTTCGTGAACACAGTACAACATCCCACGAGAACGCCTCGTCATCCTCACAAAATGCTATTTCCTGACCCACGAAGAAAGCTCCGCCAACACATTCGCCATGGGCTATCTCAAAAACACCCGGGACTACGTGAACCAGTCCGGACTCGGTCGTCAAGCCATCTTCAACCAAGTCGACGCGTCGCTCAAACGTCTCGGGACCGACTACATCGATCTCCTCCAAATCCACCGATTCGATGCCAGCACGCCCGTCGAAGAGACCATGGAAGCTCTCAACGACCTTGTCAGAATGGGCAAAGTGCGATATCTGGGTGCTAGCTCTATGTGGACATGGCAATTCCAGATGATGAACCACGTCGCGGAGAAGCACGGATGGACAAAGTTCATCAGCATGCAGAACCGTATGAGGTGAGCTGTTGTTGTTCCAATCAACCATCGAAGTTTAAGGCTGATTAAAAGCTTATCAGTCTCTTGTATCGTGAAGAAGTACAATACACCAATCGCTATTAATAAGAAGTATTCAATCTGATACGGTTTTTAGGAACGCGAGATGCTCGCATACTGCAATTTCGCAGGAATTGGTGTCATCCCTTGGGGTCCGCTCCACGCAGGTGTGTTTGTCCCCATCTCCAACTTCACACTATGTCTAACTCACGATTCTCAAAGGTTATCTCGCCCGCCCTCTCGGCACGGCCACACCACGAAACGAGGCCCTCAAGGGTACCGGATTCGACCGTGTCCTCACTTCGACTGATAAAGCCATTGTCAACCGCGTAGCTGAAGTGGCCGAGCACAAGAAGTGGACTATGTCCCAGGTTGCACTCGCCTGGATCCTCACAAAGGTCTCTAGTCCCATCGTCGGTTTGAATAAGGTAAGAACCTATGCGGTCTTCATGGTGTTTGTGTTTTGATCCAATTTCTTCACTTGTTAGCCCGAGCGAGTAGACGAGGCCATCATTGGAGATAAAAGGCTTTCACCTAATGAGATTGCTTACTTGGAAGAGCTGTAAGTCTTCGGAATGTGTCCTCGTTCTTTTTCTTTGATGCTGATTTATTGTTTGAAGGTATCGACCATTGAACGTTGTGGGCCACTAGACAGATTTATAACTATGTACATACTCTCAAAGTAAAATACATTGGCTTCGAGATCGCATTTGTTGGACTTTCAAGCAGCAAGTTTGATCCTCTTCAAGTTGTTATTGAAATCATTATCAGAAGTGATGATTGAGTCTCACTTGCAACTACATACCATACGAAACTAAGTATGACCTGGAAGGTCTGACTTGTCCTATATCATACCACTTATCAGATTCAGCAAAATGAATTGTATACCCCTGTGCATCCGCTCAGAGGGTGTACAAGACATTTACGGGGAAACCAAGGACTTTAGTGATGCATCTGGCACGTCTGCTCAGATAAGTACATCTCGTCACTTGGTGGGTATAGCAGTGTTCTAAGTATACACAAGTCCAAGGGTCCAAGATAGTCCAGTGCCAGCCTGGTTTGGTCCAAGGTTTTGTCTTCTCAAAGTCGCCAACCGTTCGCCTAGGTCCCATTGTGCCCATCGAATCCAGAATTGATAGCCTATGTAGCCCCGGAGTCGTGCTCCGCAGTGATCCTGTGTGAAGTCAGTGCAGGTCAGTACGGAGCGCCCCGGGGACAGCAGGTGGTCGACTACACCCACTGTCCTTATAGACAGTAGAGCTGATATTTTACTCATGGCTGAAGTTTTGATTGTGTTTGAGTCGCGAGTAGTTGCTATGAGACATGCGAAGTGAAGTCTCAGCCCTGGGCTCCAGAGCTTCAGAACTTGAGACACGAGATTAAGACACAATTCACGTTGCACGAACGCTCCCATTGGCAAATAAAGCATTGAGGATTGCCAAGCAGGAACTTCGAGCCTGTCACCGCCTGGTACCGACAGGTCTTGACATTTTGGTCGACAGCAAGACAGGTAATTTGATCGAGGACAAACTCTTTCTCAACGATCATGTCACCAATGTACATATAGCGTAGTCGTAAACAATATTCGTACTTAAACAACAGCTTGTATCTAATTACATCCATTGCAGTACATTTGGGTATCTTACTTATGATAAGTTCTAGTAATTATGGTGAGGGTCATTGAATCATGGATCTGGGGGCATTCTCAAGGGGTGATCACAGCACGGAACTTGACCTGACCACTCTGCATCTTGCCGAATGCCTCGTTGGCTTGTGCCAAAGAGAACCTAACAAATCAGAATGAGAAAACAGGAAGCGTGAGGAGTGGTGCGGGAACATACTTCTCAACCATTGGTTTTATGTTGTGCTTCTTAGCAAATGCGACCGCCTCCTCGCTGTCCTTGGCATGACCCGAGGGCCAACCTTTGACAGTGGCGCGTTTACCGATGAGAGCGACGGTGCTCAGTTCAAGGTCAGCAACTGAAAGTGCAAATCAGATAACACATCACGGACATGAAACTCGTACTTACTGGCAACAGTAAGCATGGTGCCTCCGACTTTGAGCCCCCCGAGGAGAGTTGTGATAGCATCACCCTGAGGAGCAGTTGCGAGGATAACCTTGGCTCCGCCGAGTTTCATAAGTTCTTCGACCTGGTTCACCTTTGATCCGTCGAGGTAAATATCGGCACCGAGCTTGGTGGCCAAATCCTTCTTAGCGTCGGACTGGGATAGCGCGACAACCTTGAAGCCCATCTGTTTAGCATACTGAATGCCAAGATGGCCTAGACCTGCACAAGAATGAAATCAGCTGATTTTGGTGACGCGTACGATTTAACAAAGAGCTTACCACCGAGACCTAAAACGGCGACGAGATCGCCCTTTTTGAGGTCGGGGACATGGCGGAGTGCGTTGAAGGTAGTGATACCAGCACAGAGGAGGGGAGCAGCTTCTGCAGGGTCAAGATCTTTGGATATAGGAAGGACAGCCTCGGTACGAAGAGTAACGTATTCAGCGTAGCCACCATCCTGGGACACACTATTATGACAGATGAGCAATCAATAAAAACGATCAGAAGAGAAACAAACCCGTTGATAGCTTCTTTCGAACAAGTGATGAAGTCGCCCTCCTTGCACGAGCCGCACTCATGACAGTGCCCACCATGCCATCCAGAGCCAA